CGGCCCGGCCCGCGGCGCCGCCCCCCCCCCGTGACCGCTGTTTCCCCCGCAGGTGGAGGAGGACCTGCGGAGGCTGCGGAGCCTGCTGGAGGCCCGGCAGCGGCACCTGCGGGCCCGCATCGCCGCCTGCGAGCAGCTGACGGCGGAGATGGCCGCCCTCCAGGCCGCCCTGGGCGCTGACGGCCGCCCGCCCTGCGTAAGCGCCGGCCCGGCCCCGGCCCGGCGAGGGGAGGCGAGCTCGGCCCCGCGCCCGCCCGTCCCTCCCTGCTCTCCGACTCGCCCGGCGCCGGGCCTGGCCGCGGGGAGCCCCGTGCCTGGCGGCGGGGGGGCCGCGAAGCCCTGAGGAACCTCGGCGAGGGACCGCGGCGGGTCTCCCCGGGAACGGCTGGAGGAGTTCGTCTCCGCGGGGGCCACGGTCCGAGCCGGCAGCGCCAGCAGGGACCGAAGGTTTTCGCTCGGTTACGGGCTCCGTCGTACCGGTTAGCGCCGGGCAAAACCGAAGACCGATAAGCCCGTGAACGTAGCCAACTGCCTCAGTTGCGGCCTCGGACTTCGCTTTCTCTCGTTGCACTGATGCCTTATCTGACTGAATTTGCACTTTTAAAATAAAGCAAGACAGGCTTAGTCTGTATCTCACCCCCTCTGCCTGCGTAGAGACCAGTGGCTTCTTGCTGAAGGAGGAACGTCCTTCAAACAGATCATGCCGGTTTGTCTCAAGTGTTGGCTCTTTCCTTGACAGTTAAGGGGAGCAGGACTAGCTAATGACTGACTTCATTTTAGAGGGGCTGGGGAAGCATGAAAGCTGTGCATTGTTCTGTGCACCATCTCTAATAACTACAATCCTGCAGTCACAGACACACGAAAAAGCTACAGCTGGCCAGGTCTGGAGATGGGGAGGTAGGTTTTTTTAGCCACATGGAAATGTTCTGCCACACTGAAAGCTTGATTTATTCAGAGTGGAGAGTCAGTCTGTTTTCTTCATTGCCACTAGCTTCGCCCAAAGTCCTCATTCTCTTCATTAGAAAGTACTTAAGAGCTAAAACTTTCAAAGGAGGGATGCTAAAACTACCATCTTTACCACCAGAAATTTTGCCTTTTTTGTTTCCCTACAGTGCCTTGCTGGTACTCGACATTGTGGTACCTGCACTGAACACAGCTGGTGTTTGCATGAAAGGGACTATGCAAGCATTTCCCATTTTCACAAATGAAGGACAACTTGCCAAGTCACAGCATCTGCTCTAACTCTTAGCCATAGCTGAGTGAACTTAGGGATATGAGGTTTATGAAGGTCACCCTTGGTGGGGGAGGGAGGAGTGTGCCAAGGCAAATGCTGTTGTCTGTCAGGATTTGGAAATACCTTCATGCCCTGACCTCTCCGAAGGGGGCAGGGGAAGGATGCTCACACATCTCTCAAATAATTTATAAATCCTCTTAGGAAAGACTATTGTAAGACAACGTTTAAATAAGCATTTAATTAGGATTCCATTAGTATTAATATTGCTTTCAATTCCAAAAAAGTTAATTTCCACTTCTTTGCAGATATTTCAAAGTACAATATTAACTTCATACAAAATGAGCAATTAAGCAAACACCATTATTTCACATTTTACATTCTTCAAAAAATACAAATTCATATTTACTCTTTTTTGGGTTTTGGAGATGCTCTTCCTTTGGAAGTACTGTACCTGTAACTAACATCTTCACATTGCTCAATGTAAGCACATTTGTTCCCATGTTTCATAGTTAAATAAATTCCTTTAATACCATACACACATTCTTGAAAAACTGGGGTTCCTTTATTTTGTCATCTCCAAGACCATTGCCCAGCTCCCCATAAGTGTCAAACAAAAGCAGTAAGTGGACAACCTACGGTTTTCCTAGACCTCCTGGTTTGACAATGCTGCAGATGTTGATGCTGAAGACGACTTCGGTAACTAACCAGGCTCGAGGTTTGCACATCCCTGCCTGCTGCGCCAATGTTGGTCTGTGTGAAACAGAACTGCAACTCTCTCTCTCCAAAACAAGGGTCAGGCAGATAGCTCTGATTCAGTAAGCAAGTGGAAGGACACAAAGCTACACAGCAAGAAATACCAGCTACTGTAACTACGGTACTGCAAAAACATACCCTTGATTTTGCTGAAAAAGATCATATGAAAAAAATTTCTTTTAAGAAAAAGTAGAAACTGCATTTATTTGAGAAAGTGTACACTGCATAATGAACCAAATTTTGGCCAGCTTGCACACCACCAAAAGCATGGTGTGGGATTTTTAAACTAGTTCCAAGAACACACACACTTAGACTATGTACACTACTACATAAATATCCAGTTTAATTTGCATTTCTCAGTGCAGACACAGAATCCAACTTCTAGAACATATGATATATATCAAGACAAGACGCAAAAAAGTTAAAAGTTCAGCCCTGTCCATGAGTATCAACTACAGGTAACATTTATAAAAACTTGACATTGTTTCCAAAATATGTTACGGAAAAAATAGTGTACAATTAAAAACTATGCAATCAGAAATTTGTAGGGTTTATTAAAGACATGCTTTTTTTTTTTGCCTTACAGTCCAAATTGAGTCTAACAGTTCTGCCCAGCTAGCTCAGATCACTAATGCCAAGGACTTTTCACGCATAGATCTCAAAGCATCTTACAAAGACAAGTTTCATTGTCTTCATTTCACAGGGAGGAAACCAAGGCATGGAGAGGTGAAGTGACTTGCCCAAGGTCTCACAGCCAGCCAGCAGCAGAACAAAGAACACGACATCAAGCTCCTATCTGCTCTACAACACAGACCTGGCTGCCTCATTTCAGTTGCCAGCTGTGCTCCCCCCCCAAATCAGAAACAGCTTTTCATCTCCAATCAACTCCAAGGTCAATTAAACCTTAACTAATCTCCCCCAGCAGTTCCACAACCAACAGGCCAGTCTTTAGTTCGTTCTCCGAGCCTTATTTATAATTGGTGCAGGAAGAGTACTGTAAACAGTTTAACAATGTTGCTGCAGTTGCAAAAACAATATCTTGGATGACTACAGACACGCCATCCTCCATGAAGGCAGATAACATGACATCAAAAACGATCTCGAAGACAAATTTTAAAAGGTGCAACATGCCTGTTTCAGAACAGCTTGTCACTTCTGTTCATACTCGTGTGGCAGAACAGAGCAGAGGACAAGGGAGAAAGGATATAGACCAAGGAACACAGCTGTGTCCAACAGAAGTGACAAGCAGCCCACCAGAAAGCGTGAGAGAAAAGGCCTGCTAAAGCACAGTGCTCTCAGTGGAGTATTTGCATAGATTGGACGTTTGCTAATGATGCATAATTTCTCTTGGGTATAGACAGGGAAGGGCAGTATGTCACTGAGCTAGTTACTATATATATTCAGTTAGACAGACACAGACAGACCGACCACATGGGACAATGATCTTTAGCTACAAGTATTGCACCAAGTTAAGTGCTCATCTTTGCACACCCCTGTTAACTTTTACTCAGAGCAAAAATAAACTTTGTGAAAGTATATACAAAAGAAATTGCAGCAATTGGGTTAAAGATAAAATAACCTAAAGTGCATTTTAGATACCAGTATGAGGTTCTGCGAACTAGTCTTTCTGGACACAGTCAGCATTACAGAAGTGCCCAATTCATACTTTGTTCTATATAATTCAGTACCAGCATTTAAACAGTGCTGATTTTCCATCCCTCTACCAACTACAAGCATGAAAAGCAACTTCTACAGCCTTCAACTGCATGCCAAGTCTGCTTGCTTGGGTCACTGCTTGGCAGCTCAAGCTACCAGTGTTGGTAATTTGACCCATTCTACGTGTTTAAGCTTCTGCACCCATCTAGAAACTGCATGTAACCAAGGAAATCCCCACAAGCCACAAAACAGCAAAACCCTTAACACAGAATGACCCAGAACAGTGCAGTTTTGCTCTCTGACTCATAATTAAAGGGGTTCATGAAATGCAGATTTTGCAGAGGGAGGGCACACTATTCTCAGAGGCTGCAGTGTATTAACAGAACATGCCCCTTTCTGGGAATTCAACATCTTAACAGATCTGCAACAGTTGAAACTCTCCCCTCTATTAAAAATGTTATTGTGATTATGCTAAATGCTGGGGCAACAAGGGGAGAAAGACAGAAAATTCTCTGGCATCAAGGAATCTCAGGACTTTCCTGCGACTGCCCTTTCTTGCCAGCTGCTCACGGATCTCCTCCCATCCAAGCATGTTAATGACCACCCCAGCAGCACAATGTTGGATCACACAGCACTGGGGATGATGCAAATGTCCACTGTGAAACGTACCAGATACATGCAGCATGGAACACTCTGGAAAGCAGACCAACGATTAAACAACAAAAGCACACATCTGTACAATGCAATCGGGTGGGTTGCACAGCCCGTGGTGCAGCAGCCTGTGCGTTCACAAAATCACACTGCTCTTGCCTCATTACAAGCTCTAATTAGTTTCACCTAAATTGCAGCCTGCCTGATGCACGTACAAGAGGGTAATGGCAAACCCAATGCACCTAAAAGTCAGCATAAACTTGGAACACATTGCTTTTCTTAGAACACACCAATAGAAAACAGTAGCTATGAAGAGAAAACAGCAGAGAGGTTAACCTCTGACACCCACTCAGAAAGGACGTGTGCAGCACCTCACTGCTGCCAATCACCACACTTCCAAATTAGCTTCCGATTTCAAAGCCTTTGGTAGATTCTTATACTCATTTCTGTCACAAAGGAGTTTCTGAAGATGCTATCTGGTCCAACCAGAAGCGTGTTTTAGGTGGACTAAGTCAGGAGTAGGAAAAGTAGCATGGAAAAACGCCTCCCTGAAGGACAGAAAGGCTCAGAAGAGGTTGCTAAATCCCCCAGCTGTCACATTTCAGGCCACATCTGGTACCCTTGTCCCCATCAGAGAAAACTCCACAACTCCAGGGGAATCTACATGCTCCTGCATTAGCAGAGTCTCCAACATGCACACATGCATACATCCACTCACCCTCAAACACCACTGCCGCACTATGCGCCTCACGGTGGCCTGTGCCCCATGGGGACCCCCCCACACACAGCCCCAGGCACCGCTCGCACTCCTCCGAAGCGGAACTCTATGCAAGAGAGCTGGCAGGAGACTCATCCCTGTGAGGACAGTCCCAGCCACACAGGTTTGAGACAATTTCTTTTGTGTTCAAAGCAGTTCTTGCTGCTGTGCAACCAAACTGCATCACAAAATGAAGCTGTAGGAAAAAAACAAAGGGGGCCACAATCTCACTGCCCTCTAGGGATTACAAGAACAGAATATAAAACACTTTGTTAATTCATGTTTCGTGGATGCAAACCTTATTGCCGCAGGACCCACATCCCTGCTGCGATAGCACTGCACAGCACTACAACACACACCAACACGCACAGAAAGGAAACACAATTAGCGTGTTTCCAGTTCAGCTGGTGTCCCCAGGCTCATCACTGCAATTACCAAAACAGAGCACTCTGCCCTAGTAGAGTGACACAACACCTCACAGGCACAAAGCATTCTTTGCACAGTCTCTTCTCCCTCACATTCACCCTAACGGGACACAGTTTTACCCTTCTGCACTTAACAACTGGAAGACAGTTGTCACAGAGGTGAAAGCCAGTTCCCCTCAACCCATTTCCATCTGTGCTGTGACACCACATTCGCATGGGAATAGCACGTGAGATCACTTAAGCCACTGTATCAGCTAAAGCTGTGACAGCAGTGTTGGTAAGGCTACACAGAGCATGTCACAAGAGGGTTAAAAAAACCCTGCTAATCATCCAGCATCCTGGGGAGGTCTAGCTGCACTCATACAATTCTCCCCCCAGCAGGTACAGAGAGCAGCTTTGATCAAATACAAACAAAGAGTAAAAGATCTCTATCCACTAGGAGCTGGCATTCCTAAATTTAGTGCGCAGAGACACTCCACATTAATTGGCTTACAGTCATTATCTTTGTATCTCACTAATGACAACACTGTAAACTGAATAAAGTCTATTTAATATTCTTTCCTTTAACACAAAAGACTGACAGCCAAAGCCAGAAAGATGGATAAAACACTATAAAATTACATCTTTTAAAATAATGCAGCATAAATAAACCATTTAGAATGAGACTGCATTTATTGCAACATTACAGGCTTTTTGGTGGAAGGGGGGTTTGTGTTTTATTTACCCTGAGTAGGTTAGAATATAGACTTTCAGTTTGATATGAAAAACTACTATGTTGTGTAACATCTTTTCGTCAAGAAATAGCCCCGTGCACAAAAAGCTGGCATCGCAGTAGGTTGGAGGCAGATTTAGGCAGAAATTATATAGCTTAACAGAAAAAAAGAAAGCATTTATGGACAGCTGAAGGATAGACTCACTGAATTCAAACTGAATTTATGTTGAATTATTCTGAAAATTTTCCTAGAGTTGTTCTTGACAGGTGAGAGTAACCAGCAAAGGCACCATGCTCCTGATTAAACAGTCACGGGGGTTAAGAGGATGACTTGTTTCTGAACAGAGCCAAATAAATCAAAAGAGCAGCAGGCACCAATCTGACTACATCTGGGACTAACTGCATCCTTCAAAGAGAGGCAAAGAAAACAGACTCGAGCCTGAGTAAGCAGGGGCTCCAATTGTGTTTCCATGTTGTGAAACAGTGTCTGCCACCACACTTTTAAGTCCTAATGAAATTAAATGAACACATCTACAAGGTACTTGTGCTCTACTGAAATTAACTCCCCAAAAGTTTCTGTAGGCTTTAGTAACAGCGTTAGTACAAAGCAAACCCAGGCATCAGTTCCCAACTCAGTGATGTGACAATCGCATTCCAATAAAATTGCAGATAAATCATCTTCTACAATAATGCCATTTTCTACTACAGCAAATTCCTTCCCTGGGCTCCCCTCATAGTGCATGGTTAGCATCAGACATAAGAGACAGAAGAAAATTATAGACCCAAGGAGTTGTAACAAAGACCCACTTGCTGCCAGTACCTTAATCCCAAACATAAGTGATGTGCAACTGGAGACAAACTAAACCCCCTTTTTCTTTTTAAAATCTTTTTGCAGACGAGTAACCTTAACTTCTGTGTTCACATATGACAAGCAAAAGTGACAGACAGTGCAGCCAAAACAGTTCATATATAACTTAGCTTTTTCTTTTTTTTTTTTTTACCTTTTCTTTTTTTAGATAGATTCTCAAAGATGGATGTACCTGGGACGTGACTAAGATGACATCTGTGAAGCAGAAATAAGCCACAAAACTTCCAAGAAGGAAGGAAAAAGAATTGATCCTTCAGTTTCTGCTTCTAAGGAGAAGGGTTTTACCCTCCAGGTGCAAAGGAAAATCTGGAACATCTTCACTTAGAGAAGCTGCTATTCAAACCAATTTCTTCCTCACCCTGCAGTAGTGCTTCGATTGGAATTATATTAGATGGGGTTTCAGGGCTTTGGAGGGACAGGAAGTCCGATACATCCATGGCACTTAATGTTTCAGTCTGTGAGTCTGAAGGGTTAACTATCTGACTGCTCTGCCCACATGAAGGAGAAGGGGAAGAGGAAGGAAAGGTCTGAGGCTGCAGCTGGGGAGCTGGCTGCTCCAAAGCTTTTGGATCAGGTGAGGAACATTCCTTCTTAATGGTGGCTTTGTCCTTGGCAGAGTCTCGGCAGGCACACTGACACTGGCAGGCCTCCTCCTGCTTTATAATAATGACAGGAACACTGAGACCAATCTGCTGAACAGGGTTTCCTGAAGGTGAAACAAAGACAAAACAAAACAGAACTATGTAATTTCACAGCAGGGAGAGACAAATCATCTTTGTTTAATTAGATTGTATGCACCTTGCAGCAGAGATTACATGTTACTTTGTTCAAGTACAGTGAACACCTCTAGCAGATGAAAAACAAGAAAAAAGTGGCAGATACTCTCTGTTGATGAGCAACCTCTTCAGGTTGAACCCAGGCATTAGAAGTCTGATCTAAATTTTTTTACACAGCACAGTATGTCTCTTCTCTGACAACCACGGTAACTTTCACTGCATAAAATCCAATAAAGAGTGGCATTCAAATGCCCCAGTCCCTATGCACCAATCTTTGAAGATGATGATACAACATTACACCAGCAATTCTACTCCTTGACACCAACACAGGCATTGTGCTGTTCACTTTCTCCACTCTGCTTTCCTCTCCCATCTTGCTTCTCATGCTTCCTTGTCACTCTTCCTATGCTGCTTTACTTTCCTGGCTTCCTTTCTTTTTTAAAATTTAAGTTTTAAACTTACCTGATCTCTCTTGATTGATTGATTCATCTTTGCAATATAACAACACTGTGTAGGAAGCGTGTTATGGAACAGAACTTCTACAGTTGTGTATCATTTTGATGAATCTCACAGATAGTGCTTACCAAAAACAAATGCTAAAGAACTGACTAAGTTTACTACCCGTTTCGTGTCTTCATTTAAAAGAACAAAAAACAAATTATGTCCCTGCATTTCTGTCTTTTATTCTTCTATGTAAGTTCCATTAAAGTACCATTTTTGTCAATACTGGATCTAATTTGTGAACCTGATTATCTTACAAGTTGTTAGAGAAACTACTACAGGACAGATCTCAGCACAAACCTCTGAGTCTGCAGCAGACTGCACTTAAAACCTCAGGAAGGTAAAAAAAATGAAAGGATTTTCTTCAACATTTCTGCAAACAAAAAAATCACCACAAATGTGTCAAGCTAATAGTACTACAAACAGAGAAAGAGAGAAAAGCAAGTTCAGTGTCAAGCTTACCTGTGTTGCCAGCTACTGGTAATGCAGTGGTAAAAAAAACCTTTTCTACTACTTTTGGAACTTGTGGCTTTAAAGAAAAAAAAAAGAAAACAAGAAAAAAAAGCATGAGTTGGTTCCAATCAAATTTTTACTGTTCAAATTCTAAACAGCTGCAATCAAAAGAAACAGCTACACACATATTCCAAAGAGAATGCACAGGGAAATAAAAAAAAAATTTATAACATTTAGCTTGGTTCTGGGCTATGTTCTGGCTATCCCAAAACTCAGAGTATTATTTCAGTAGTCCTAAAGATGAGGAGTAATCACCCTCCACACTACATGCTTGTTAACACAGCTTATGGTTTTTGACAACTGAATGACTAAATTCTTGAAAAACTGTTGTGCTTGCTCATACTCCTTGTACCTGCACCCGTTCACTCTTGACCATCTGCAACTGAGAAAGCCTTAAGGTGGCAACAGTATTCTTAAAGATAAAACACTTGAAGTCTCAGCTATCCAGATTTACTGGAGAACCAGAAACATTCTGTTTTCCCAGAAAACTTTTCATTATCAGGCTAAATTAGGAAGAGACAGAGATTACAAAATACCTAAACACAGAGTCTTTTGTGCTTCTACTTCTCAAAAGTAATAGATAAAAACGCACATATAATCTCAGGCCACATGGTGCACTGTCCTGGGTAAACCAAGCCGATACCTGCTGTGAGAAGTCTGCCACTAGGGAAAAAGAAGAAAGCAAGATTTTTCTGCACCCTGGATTTCTCTATCTATTTCTATTTTATTTCTCTATTTTAGGGGCTACATTGGTGACATGTTTATGCATATTAACGTGATAAGCATTATACAATACTCCATCCTGGTTTGTGTCTTACAGTTAGAGGTTTGATCTCCTTCCTTTTCAAAAAGCAAGGACTCTAGGAGGAAGAGAGATGGTTCAAGATGTTTCAAAGCTGTGCTGGGTATACTAACCATTTGTTCTTGGCTTTGTGGAGAACCAGTGGCACCATTTAAGATCCACTGTAAGTTTTGCTCTCCCATGACAATGCTGGACTGCAGAATAGCGGTGCTCTGAGAAGGAGTAATTGTTATAGTTGGATTACTGGTCAGAACCGAGTTCGCACCAACAGGCACAGTCTGAACTACAGCTGGCAGGGGCTCAGTGGCACTTGATGCTGTTGGGGCAGATGCCCCAGCAACCACTGAAAGTCCTTGTACAATGGGCTGTGGCGGTGTCTGAGTATGCTGCAGGAAGTCTTGGTGACTGGCTGCAAACTGTGTGCTGTGAGGAACAGGCACTTCTGGGGATTGTAAAACAGTTGCAGGATTTCCAAATGCAGCTTGCTGTGAGCTGGTTCCTATGGAGGAGGGAGCAGCAGGTGCTGCTGAGGCTTGTAGTGCTGAATGCGAAGGCTCAGAGATGCCAAGCTGCAGTACAAGTGGAAGAGACAACGATGCCGAGTCTCCTGCAGAAGGCGGAACAGCAGTGACTGAGTCTGCATCGCCATTAAAACCTTCAATCAAGGCAGCTGCCAAAAGAAACAAAGAAAAAATATAAATACATCAGTCCTTGTACCATCTGAATAAACAACTTTTTTCCATGAACTTAACAGCTAGCTGATGGATTTTTGCTAAGTAATCTCTTTCACATCTTCAGACTAGTGCTCAAAAACATGTAACACTAGAATCTAAAAGTAGGTCCAAATTCAGGAAGCTGGTAACACTGAATACTACACACAAGCTGATCGGCCTCATTAGCTTTCTCCGAGAAGCCTTTTTATCAGCCAGTTTGTGCAGCTATGTCAAGAGAGGAAGCTTGAAAACAACGCTTATGTGGAAAGTCCAAGAGCATCAATGTCAGCATTATATGACAACATGCTGTAAATACTCGGTCAGTTCCCCTGTCACTGCCTGCGTGTTACACCGTCTGTGAATACAATGCATTTCAACACAAAAGAATTTCAACACTGAAGTTAAAGTTCTGTTTGCTACTTAGAGTTATGTGGGGCAGCAATCTTCAATCTGAAATGCTGAATTAAGTACCTGTATGCAGAGGGGGGAAAACTGTCAAAAAGCTCTCTTAAAATACTGCAGATACAATTTGTACCTGTCTGCTGAGAGTCATCCTGATTTGCAGTGTGATCCGGGCTCTGAAACATAGACTCAAAGATGCTTGCTGGTGAGATTGTGCTAAGGTCTTGTCCGTGTGTCTGGCAAATAGAAAATACAGAGGAAGACATCAGATGACATTGTATTTCAGGTCTCCATAAACTTTGCACACGTCCCAGTCAAGCAGCGTATGAATGTCAGAAACGCCTCTCCAACTAACTAGCCACCTTCAGGAAAGGCAACATATTTCACTTAACTATTGTAAAATGACACTTAGTTTTTATTACCCACAATCAAGTTTACCAACATAATGAGCAAATCCTTACAAAAATAGTAAGTAAGTCCTTCAGAAGTAGAATATATTCTTCTGCATCCACACTTTGTTTAACCCTTATTTCTTGTAATACTCTTTTAGAAAAAGACATTAATTTGTTCTTGGCTGTTTGTGAAACCTTTTCTGGAACAAAACCAAAATAGCTCCGCTTAGATTATATCCTGGACTGTCTGTCCACTTATGGACTCTTATGCACTACTGTCACCCACCCTGCTCTAGGAACAGAATATATTCAAAAGCTGCACACTGCTTCCACATCAAAGCACAAAAGAATGACACAGCCTCATCAGTATATAATTTTCCTCTATGTAAAATCTGAGCTCAGTCAACAGTTATCAATAAGCAAGAACATTATTACGGTAAAATCAGATGCAGAGACTTTAAAAACAGGTTGAATTAAGCACTGTATATTTTGGAGGAAACCCCCTCTTTCACTCAGTTATTCTGCTTTTAGACAGAAATTTTTTTTTTTTTCCCCAACATTCCAGAAAGGACAGCAATAATATGTCATATTTACAGGCTCAATAGGGTGTCTAAGAAACATACATTTTTCCATCAAGAGAGTGCCTCCTGCAAACTGCCACAAGACACAAAAAAAAAAAAAACAAAACCAGTATACAGTACATCTAAAACAATTCTATGTAAAGTCACTTATTCTGTGAAAGAGTACGTCTCGTCCACTAGCAAAATAAAAGCCTGAAGTAGAGTATGCTGGAGGCCTGAACAAGAGAAACAGAAGCCACCGGCCATACGTATCAAATCTGCTGTGTTCTATCTGACAGGACAAGCACATTGCCAGAAAAAAGCAAAACTCAGATTATGGGCGAGGCAATTCCAGGACAGTAACTCACTGGATTAGAGTTCTCCCGCAATTCTGAATCTGTTGATATGAGGCTTAAGTCACTCAGACAAAGTGAGTGGCTTGTATCCTGTAAAGAAGAAAAAGAAATTGAGTTATGTATTAAAAAAGTGTCAGAAGTGTTTTAAATTACTTTTTAAGAGTCCACACAATTCTGCCTATACAGAACTTTTTTTACCTGTATGTGACCCAAGTCTCAGTTCTAAAATCAAAGGAGCAATATTACTAAGCAAAGGATATTTAGTAACTATCAAGGATTCTTAACATCTCTTTCACATTACTTCAAAAAAATTAACCTAGAATTTTAAATTAGCACAGGAACAAATCAGCCTATAGAAAATAAAAAATTTAAACCTTAACAGTTAGTATTTATTTTACTTCACACACTTATTACATAGTATTGATTAAAACATAAGAATCTACAAGGAAAGCATGATAATATATATAATTGTCTATAAACTTGTGTCGGTATGTGGCATCTCGTCAAAGCAGCAGTAACCCAAGTGTTAATTTTAATGTGATTAAAATTAATAGACAAATTTAGATGAGCATTTCTAAATAAAACTTGTTAACCAAATACCACGCTAGAAGTTTAAAAAATACTGATCCCATTGTTTCTTATCAGCACACTGTAAACACAGCATATGAGAATAAACCCTACGCTGGCACCTTGAATGCCAGCAATTTCACAATCCAAATTGAATTCTTGCTTCAAAAGAGGCACCCGTGGGTCTCTTCATGGGAGACAGGGCACCAAGTAGTTAAAATTCCCTTTGAAAATCCCAGTCTTAAATGTTATACCTTTAGAACACCCTACAGACCAAATAATTTCTTCCCCAAAGTATGGTTTTATCTCCATCTAACACAGAAGCATTAGGAAGAAGTGCTACTAACCTCAGATACATTGTTATTGGGAAGTGCATTATAGGCATGTCCTTTCTCATGACCTTTCATGTGACTCTTCAGGCTATACTGTGTACTAAAAGTCTTCTCACAGCCATTACTGGGACAGAAGAAGGGCTTCTCCCCTATAAGCAGGGCAAAACATATATAACAAACTTACAGACATTATATCAGACACATACTTTTAAAGCACCTAGGAGAGTAATAATATTTTATACAAACAAGATTGTTTAATGCCACTTCACATATTCAGCATTCTTGGGAGTCTTGCAGACAAAAGTTCCTGTTTTACCACATGAACTGACACAAGAACACAACATTTAATTTTTATGCATCAATACTGATACATTTGTGAAACACATTCATGAAATTCAAGACCTGTCAGGCATAAATGGAAGTGCATAAGTGGAGTATTGGGGATTATCCTGATCCAGGTGCAGGAGTTAGCACTTGGCCTTGATAAATTTCATGAGGTTCACATGGGCACACTCCTTCAGACTGTCAAGTTCCTTCTGGATGGCATCACCTCCCTCAAGCACATCAACTGCACCGCTCAGCTTGGTGTCACCCCCATATTTTACGTAAGTATAAATATATATTAGGATTCCAAGAGTTAGTATAGACTGACTAAGCTCAATTAAGGAAAAAAACAAACCCTATGGACTTACCAGTATGTGTCCTAACATGTGTTTTAAGGTGGTGGCTTGCAGCAAAAGCCTTTCCACAGCCGTCATGCTCACACCTGAATGAGGCATCACAGAAGAGTTAGCATCAGGGTTCTTTGATGCATTAGTTACAACCTTAGATCACACTTTAGAATAGTCCCAGGACTCTGAAAAGCTAGCCTAATGCTGATCTGTGTTAGCAATCAGGTTATCTCCCAACAGCTGCTATGCATGCTACACAGACTATAGCAGGGCTCTGAATAGGACTCAAATTCAAGCATCACAGGAGAGAAGCAGCAATATGATTTAAAAACATGCTCATTGTGGTACAGATTTACGTTTAAAAAAATAGCTTGACTATTCTTGTCTTTGAAGACAGTCATTTCACCCACTTTTACAGTCAACTGAGAGAGCTCTAGAACAAACATGCTCAAATGCTAGCTGCCTTCACTTTTTTCTCATGAGAATAGCTTTTCATTTAGGACAGTAATAGCTGCCTCTTGGCCCATTACATAAATCCCACAGAAGTAAAAATTGCCATCCAGCAACTTACCGAAATGGCTTTTCTCCTGTGTGTGTTCGAATGTGCTTCCTCAGGTCACTGTGCGTTGTGAAGTATTTACTGCAGCCTTCTGATTCACAGTTAAATGTTTTCCCTGTGTGAAGCCTCTGATGTGCTTTCAACCTAAAAAGCATGCCAAAAAAATCCCTCTTGTGACTTGTTGGATGAGACAGCCCCTACCTGAGGCAAGCAAGCCATTCATTTAAAAGTGCAGGACGGGATCAAAGGCTTAACATATTCTGAACTGAAGGTAACTAGCTTATGAAAGTAACTGATATCACTTCTGAAGTTCCCAAGCAAATCTGAGAATTCCTTGTGTTTGTCCACCACCTTCAATACTATTGTAATATAAATAAGCTAAGTATGTCATCATAGGTTCTGTCATCCTACTTCTGGTATAGCATTTCCACATTGGGGGGGGGCAGGGGACATGCGTTATATTAATATCTGTACTTGGAAGAAGCATAACAATTGTATTCAGATACAAACAAAAAGTAGATGCAACTTGCAAAACAGCAACAGCCACATCTACAAGAGAAAGAGACTGAGACTTCCTACCTGTACAGTGTATTGAATGCCTTTTCACAGCCCTGCACATCACATTCAAACGGCTTTTCCTTAGTGTGCACTCGAACATGGATTTTGAGGCTGTAGGAGGTAAGAAAGGCCTTGCCACAGCCTTCTTGATTGCAGACAAAAGTATATTCTCCACGATGTGTCTTTTGGTGAGTGCGCAGGTTTCCGGCAGTGCTATAGGTGCGCGGACAGCCCTCAAAGGTGCACTGGTATCTCTTAACCTAAGAAACAAAATGCAGCATACTTAATTTTTAAGCATTTCTGGAATCCAGACAGGGTAGAACTGCAGTTAAACAAAGACAATGGAATAGATTTTGACCCCAAAGGCAAAAAAAGAAAAAATATTGCCTTTTAATTATCAGGTAACTTAATATTTCTACTGCACTATGTGAGGAAGGAGTGGCAAACATTGGAAAGCAGGCCAACCTTATAGAAGAATAGTAATCTAATAGAAGGGGGGGGAAGGAAAAAACGTAATTCAAAACGTTTCTATCTAAAAATCTGATAGAATAGTTAGAAAGGATGCTAAGAGGCTATCAAACCTATCTGCTATTCCCATATATAGCACCTGCATTTAGCTCAGGTGCTTCTAGCAGAGCTATTTATTTGTGGAGGACGAAGACAAGGGAAAATACACTTTCACAACCTGACCCTCAAAAGCACTGCCCTGTGCGCTGAATTCCCATCAACATCTTGAATGAGAACTATAGTTTTTCACCATCTCCTATGGTCTAACCATCAGTCCATTTATTACTTCATCTCAAAAGCAGCCTTCATTGTGCTTCATTCTTCTCTTCAGTGTTTACTGAAGTAGTCAATGCCTGAAGTGTAATGAATCAAACAAGGTGCTTTACATCAAAAGGCAAGTGTTAAGATTTCTCGGCCAGCTATCTAGATCATCAGGAAACAATTTCACATTGAACTAGATCTGGTAGCCTTCCCAGCTTCTGCAACAGGCAGAAATAGACCATGCAGAAGCTTCCGGTGTGCAAGTTATAACACTTAATTAAATCTCATTCTCTCTTGTGAAGTAGAAGGGATAAGCCATCTGATATGCTTGAATAAATTTATCTTCAGTATTAATTATCAGACTGATGGCTTTCATTTGACTATTGCAGTTGAGAAAACTTAACATTTAAAAGTGATTATAGAGCCCAAGAGAGGACTTGATGGTTGACAGGCAAGAAGCAGAAGAGTATTCCAGAAGATGTTGATTTGGAAATGTTTAGAAAGGGGCAATACAAACTCACAACAGAGAGGCAGGAACTTTCAGATTTAGTATTCTAACAAGTAGTCAAGAAGATAATATAGCAGGACATAAGCCAGCAATTTTCCTCTTTTCCAAGGCACAAAGCACCTATCTCACAGTTCCTAGTATTATTGCTTAGAAAAGGCTGCAGACTGTCTTCAAAAAAACCAGATACTGAATCAGAGGTTGATACCAGGAGAACCAGATGAACCTATACATAACCAATGGGTAACACTTATGGGTTTCTACCCATCTCATGGCTCATCAACTCTTCTTTTCTTCTTTATATACACCCAACAGAAAAGAGCATTCGATAATCACAGTTCTTTACTACCACGGCTTGGAAGCTGAGAACAGAATAACATGGGATGCATTGATCTATTGTCAGGTAAGTATAAAATCACTTTATTTGAAATCATGCTCCTCTCAGAATAACAGGAGTTTAGGCAGATGCATTAAGTAGGAGTAACACCAAAACCATATCATTCTTCGTATGCCTAATTAAGAACTGCATATTATTTAATCCTTCCACAAAGTAACTAATTTGATTAATGCTTTGTGCAATACCACACAAATGAAAGGAACAATGGGCCCTCAGTAAAACCACTATGAGATCTGTAAATGGCGCTCTGAAACGCATTTGTTTTGTCCAAGAATTGTCTCCCATTCATGTACTGCAATGGCACAAGAATAAGGACAGTCGAGGGGATGTGGAACACATTATTTATTATGCTAAGTTGTTGGTACTGTTGAAGACCATACCAGTGCTGTAAGGTCCAAAGGAAGGTACACACCTTCAGATTCTTTTTCTCAAATAGTCAAAGTAACAGCCCTTAATGATGTCAATTTGAGCCACATGCGCTCAGCATTTCCTCTTAAGAACATGCCTACTAGATCAAGTACCTGAGAACTGAGGCACCCAAAAAGATATTTCATTGCATGCTTTCAGTCCTCTCTCTATATACAGGTTTAAGGCCTTCATGCCAGTAACTACAGAACTAGGGCCTAAAGCACCAAGGCACACCTCTCAGGGCTGTAGCAATCAGGTTACACAGACCCAGGCTCTACCTGTCCAGAAGATCACCTCTAGAATAAGGGTAGCCTGGGAAACAAGCTTTTCAGTAAGGGCAGGGGTTTCAGTTAACTTAACACATCAGCCCCAACGGCTTCCCAGGAAGCACTGTGGTCATATAGTGCCCTAGCACAAACTCATACCAGGTATAATTTGGGTTATCAATGGCTCTCCATAAGGAGAGAGAAATAAATAGTCTTTCAGTTACTTCCAACCTGTTTTGCAGGGGACAAATATGCCAGCAGGACCCCTTTAAGAAAGCTTTACAAATTCTGAGTATATAGAAGCTGAGTAATCTCTTGTGTAGTCTCAATCTGTAGTCTCTTGTTGATAGCACAACAACAGACTGGCATCTACCTTCACCTGCCTTTGATAAAACCTTAGTATTTGGAGAATATTAAAGCAGGTTAGACATCTAAAAGAGATCATTATACAGAGCATAGAAATATCTTAACTATAAAGCTAGCAAGACATATGACAACTATAAAATAACTAGAAGTAGTTTTCATTTTGACTAGTACTGAATTCAGTTCCTGCCTCTCATATATAGGTGATGATAACAGCATATTGCTAAATAGAGATGAGTATTCCAAGCTATTTATCATCACTTATCTTACTACTCGATTAATCCAGGGAGACACTTTACTCTCAAATGCAGACTTGAACAGACAATTACACATCCAGGAACTAGTTCTCCATGCTTTTCCAATTTCACGTGACAGTTGAGAAGCAGAATTATCCCACAGAATTGTAACTACCATGAAAAATATTTAGCTATTGCAAAATATAGTAGGGGAAGAAAGAATAGCAGAAAGAAATTACAGAGTATGAAGAAAGAACATGTATAAAAAAGCATTTTGTCCCAGTAAGACTGGCAGAAAATTACCCATACTATGGGGCTTTTTAAAAACTACAGTTCAGGAGACTTACTGCCAAAACCCAAAAACTTCTCTTTTCAAAATATCTTGCCCTGTTGAAGGGTCGCTTCTTCCAATCCTCTCTACATTCCCACCTTACAAGGGAGACTGTAGATTTTTTTTGTGGGTTTTTTTGTTTTTATAAAACAGATGGGGAAGAGGACCTACTCTACACCTCACTGTAACAGCTTTAAATAATCTAAGAAAAAAAGCTAGTTAGGAGATATTAATTCAGATTCTTTTGATACTATATTTTATTTAAGATACACTGTTTTCTCCTTATTTCTGTAGACACTAGTTACCCAGGCTGCCCTAAGTACAGGGAATGCAATGAATTCATACAAGAACATGTAGGAAAACGTCATGTTTGGACTCATGACTTGGCAGCCTACCATGAAATTCACAATACATAGCAAATTCTCACTAAATCTTTTTCCTCCTGCAATCCAAGGTTTACTATAAAGCATTTAACTTACTACAGATTTACTAGTCAAGAAATCCATGTATGCTAAAGCAATGGAAGTGGTACACTACACCAAAACCAGCTGTTAAATGTTCGCATCTGATTCTCCCTTGATTTTGTACAAGACAGTAAGAAGAGGAAAGAGTAAAAACATCAAGTGTTTAGAATGAGCAAATGATCTAGATGATATGACCAACAGTAACTTGAAGAGGAAAAGATTTTGGAAGTCTTCATATTTTTATCTAGTCACTTAGCATTATTAGAAGCACCATACAGAGAAGGAAACAGTAATTTTACTGTAAAGCAACTTGCCCTTAATTTATAGTTCAAATCAGGTTAAAGTTATCAATAAATATCCAACCATTACAATACAGTTACAACATAATTAAGAAGTTTGGTTTTGTTGAGTCAGCCAAAACACAAGAGCACAGACTGGTAACACACAGACACAAGGTCAAAAAGTACGTTTTATTAGATGAGAAGGGGCACGTTATCTTCACCAGGGATCATCAGATTAAGTACAATTTCTGCATCAGTACTGAAGTAAGTGTTCCCTGTTAGATTTTTAAGGCAGCTGGAAAGTAACATTTTACATGCTGCATTCAGGACATTCTCCACAGTACTTCCCGTAATACACAAGTGATTTGACACAGGCATGAACTACCTAAAAATCAAGTGAGGAGTCTGTTAAGCTTTCTAGGTGTTTACGTGTAGGTCTAGAAAGTGAAAGAAAAGGAGAGTGCTAATTATAGATTAAGGATTTGGTTCCTAGCTGCCAATGCACATATTTAAAGGAAGATGGCAGTAACACTTTCAGTTTAATGGCCTGAACTATGACAAAGGCCTTGCAGTGCTCACCCTTTTCTCAAAGGCCAAGTCTTTATTTCACAAATTATTCCGAGAAGGATACTGCATACAGAAGCAATGCTACCACCATGTTCTAAGCAAAATAAAACTTTCTGTAAAGCAGCAAAGCATTTAATTCTCTTTTCACGTTAGGAACATTAGCACATCAAATAAGCACTGATTATACACATAAAATTATGTAGAGATATTGAACATGAAAGACTCAGAGTTACAGCAGCAAGTACTCAAGACTATCATCATATGCAAGCAACAACAAAAAAGAAACATGGCAGCACAGGAAAAACCACAGATGGCTAGGATACGAAGTGTACAGAAACAAGTTGCTTTGAAGACAAAGGCTGTGGCTGCATCACATATGCTTTTTGCAAAGGACAGTGTGCTGTCTCTCCCAAGGAGATGCACCACAGGGAAGCCAGAAGAGTCTTAATTAAGCATTTACCTTAGAGGTAGGAACTAATTGTCCAATAAATCAACAAGACTGTCAAAAGCAGAGCCTGATACACTGTGCCAAAGCATACTTAAACTGCTCAGTTTGCCTTTAAGTCATCTTGAGTTTACAAGATTCCCCTTAAACTGTTAGTATTTCTGTCATCATTGAACAAAAATTTTAATTAATTTGAAATACAAGACTATAATCACATTTATTCTTACAGACAGAATTCTAGCGAGGGAAGTATAACAAAAGGAAGTTAAAGGTAATTAACAAAGTGTAAAACCCTCTTTTGCTTCATAAATGTCTAAGACTGACCTGAAGATTTAAGTCTTTAAAACAGTTATCTCAAGTGCTAGAACTGCTACAGATGTTTTGGAAGTCCCAAAGAATTGGACTGGTGACTTTTAGAGATGAGCCAAATGTTCAGGGGTTTTAGAGATTTCCCCTCCCCATCTCCAGACAACTTAGCAAGCATTTGAAACAGCAGGACAAAAAGGGCTTTTACAAGATGGAAGAGTGTCACATATGCTTAGGGCTTATTTCCACTGCACTCAAATTATAGTGTAACTCCTCCCTGCCCCAGAAAATTAACTCAAAAGATGGAAAATAAATTCAGATAAAGGATTTCATTATGAAATTCCAGGTCTTACAAGCCTTTTTTAAAAAGGAGAGGCGAAGAAATAGCCAGTTTAATTGCATGTGCAGTCATCAACACCTGTTAAGCTAGTACAAACTGTTCTCAGACACTACAGATTGCAAGCTTATTATCCTACAAAAAGAAAGTACTGATATGACTGACATAGAAAAATTAAATATTTTAACAGCTAAGAAGGTAGGATACAGCAGCTGCTAATATGAATAACAACTGAGCAAAAGGAGTTCCTTAGACTTAAATGGGCTTATTGAGCAAACCTCAGTGCAGAAGTTTCGTAAGTGCAGAGCTGACCTCCTACAGCCCCATTTCCTCACTGCCGAGCAAGCAATAATGAAGGTTCCCTGCCAATCTAAATTATTCAGAGCATTCAAACCCAGCTCCCTTCCTCAGCAAGGGCTCATTTCTGCAATTCTCTCTGACGCTGAATATCAGTTACACAAGTAGTTGATACTACTACCATTGATACTAGCACAGACACTTGTACAGATCATCCCTTATTTAACTTAGAAGGGCCAAAAAAGGAGCACAGAGTTGTCACTGTGTTGGTATTTCAGTCAACTGTGCATTGCTGTTGTACCTAAAAGCAAGAATCCCAAGTCAGTCTGTACAAGCCCTCAGCACTTTGCATGCAGGTAGAATTAGTTAAGGAAACAGAATTCAAAAGTAACCGCCATTTTAAATAGGTAAGCTGACTTAATCTTTCAAAATACAACAGACAGTAGTTTAAAGGTTTCCTTATTTTCTTATCACAGTTTCCCTATGAGTGACACAATAAAACTACAAGTCCTTTTAAGTTTGACATCTTAAGTTTCATACTTTCACTACCGCCAACAGTCTGGAATTTAACCTGGAATTTGGATGCCCTTTTCTCAAGAATAACACAGAACAACCACAGAATAAGAGAATTCATGTTCTTTCTAGTTATCTCTGAACTCAGGAAATAATTGCCCAACCAAAAGAAAAAGGAAAGACCGCTAAAATCACACAAGCTACTAATACAAGCACCTTTTCAGTACCGTATTTTCCTGCTATCTAGTGTGTTACCGCTTGTCAAAAACTGCTTCCTGGCTGCTTCACAAGAACGCAGCAGGACATTAGAGTGAAAACTGATGACGCTCACAGCTTTGCTGCTGACCCACTAAAGCGACTGTGGGAAACAGTTATGCCTAGCAGCACAAAGCAGTACTATCACTAAAAGTACCAGCGGATTTAATGAAGTGTAATTCACTCCACTATACAGTAACCTTTAAGAACAAGGGAAACTTCTGTCGCCTCCCAGCAAACAGCTTTAGAGAAACACATTTTCAAAGCATTTAAGGTTACCAGGTGAAAAGCACTCACAATTAGCATAAAATTCAGAATCACATTTAGCTACTTACTTCTTTAAGCTTAGTTTCTGGGCATTCAGACTGCAAAGTGAGCGTTGCTCCTTCGATATTTCTTGGCATAGGAGTTGAACCAGGATTTATCGTTAGATGAATCTGATCTGGAGAAATAATATGTTGCACATAACCCTGGGACATTCCTTCATGATCTGCTATTAAATGAAATCCTTCTTCATGACCCTCTGGTAAAAAAGGCAAGTGATCACCACACTGTCCTTCATCCTCGTCATCTTCCAACACGCTGTGGTCCTGCTCTATTAGAACAGTTGTCCTGTCATAGACCGTCCCAGGTGACGAAGAAACCAGCCCGTTTTTATCAGCAAACCTCATCATACTGTCATCTTGGGTTAAATCGTCTTCCTCCACTTCATAGTAGATAACGTTGCCTTCGGGACTGTTCTCCCCCATGGCTCACCGCCTCTCAGTACGATATCGTGAGCTTAGACCGTAACGACTCATCTGCAACAGAAGGGCGGGCGGCGGCGGGTCAGCCGGCTCTGCCCCGGGCCGGGCCGGGCCGGGCCAGGCCGGGCCCCGCTCCGCTCACAGGCACAGCGCCGCGC